TATCACCACGGAGTGGAGGAAAATAATCTGAGGCTTCATTTCTGATCGTAAACCAAAGCGTCCTCAGACTGGAGGCGACAGCAGTGACGGATGTGGAAACACAGACTCCATAAATAAAACCTTATCAGACTTTTCCCCTCCTCTCTGCGTCCATAAGTCTTCCTCCCTCCATCTCCGTCTCAAATTTATGTCTTTACCTGTTAAACCTCTGCCCCGTTCTAATGCGTTCCATTCGATTCCATTTGATTTAATTCCATTCATTTTATATTATTCCATTCTATTACATTCCAGTTTATTCCTTTCCATTATTTTCCTTCTTATTCAATTTGGTTATTTGATATAATTCCCGTTTATTGTATTCCAGTTTATTTCATTCTATTTCATTCCAGTCTGTTCTGTTCTGTTCTATTCTTTTCTAATTAAGTTTATTCCAATATTTTCTGTATTTCTAACATTACGATTAAAAATGAAGGAACCCTTAAATGAACCCTTTTAATACTATCATATGTGATCCGCTTGTCACTTTATGGTTTAAACTAGAAATTCTATAGTAAGAACACAACAAAAATGTGCATCAATTTACTTCTCTTGTAACTCATCACCATGGGATGATAGTGGATAATAACTGTTTGCATTTTGGTTTTCCCTCTCTTAATGTCCTCAGAGGGCCTCCAAGAAAAAAGTATTTTGGAAATTTGAGCCCAATTGTAGTTAAAATCATATTCACTGGATCTAGGCTTAAACATTCAGCAATAAGATTTTAAAGGGGACATATTATGCAAAACCAAGTTTTTAATCATTTGATTATGTACATTTGGGACTGTGGAGGGCCTATCAGCAGGCAAAGTGTGAAAAAAATGACTCAATTAAAGAGTAAAGGGGAAGTAAAAGTCATGTTTTTGTGGGCTGCCTCAGTCTGATAAATCAGGAGGTTTCAGGAGTGGGTAGTTTCTGACGTCATTAGCTCTAGCTCATTATAATATTCCAGCCTTTCACCCGCATGTTGCCCCCCCCTCAGCTTACTCCGCCTATCTGTGGAGACGTCCTGGTAGCATGAGCGTTAGCATGGTAGCGTTAGCGTGGTAGCGTGAGCGTTAGCATGCTAGCGTTAGCATGCTAGCGTTAGCATGCTAGCGTTAGCGTGCCGACGTGGGCACCCCTCCCGGAAGAAGTGGGTGGATTTCATGTGTCTCATTTGCATTTAAAGAGACAGGCACTCCAAAGCGAGCGCTCTGAACGGGGCTGTTTTGGCAGGGGAACTGAACTGCTATTGGGCTTCATCCTCATGGAGTTTTGACCAAAGCTTGTCACAGACATTACATTAGGACACCAGGGAACTAGTTTAACTTGTTGAAATAGGGTATAATATGTCTCCTTGAAGGAGGCGACTGTAGGTCGAAGCGTTATTTATTCAGTACCTGTGTGCCTGTCATCTTCTATAGTTTTAGATTTTGTTTGTTTGTTCTTGGTTTTCTTCTTCTGTGCTTTTGTCTTCCACCTGCTCTGTTAATCTTCTGCCTTGAGGTGATTCCTTATGCTCAGAGCCCGGTGAGGTGCTAACCTGAGGTAGCACAAACACGCTAGTCTCCGTTAGCCGTTTGAGCTCCGGCTACTCGAATGGTCCTCTGGTGCTAAAGCCAGGAAACTAGTTTAACTTGTTGAAACTATATTTTAGGATTCATTTTAAAATTCTTATGTTTGTTTTTAAATCATTGCATAATCTCGCCCCGGCTTACCTCACTGAGCTTCTTCATCCCCACATACCCCATCGGTCTCTCAGGTCAGCAAATCAGCTGCTCTTGGAGGTACCGAGAACAAAAAGGAAGCTCAGAGGGGACAGGGCTTTCTCTGTTATGGGCCCCAAATTATGGAATGACTTACCTTTGCAGGTCAGAGAGGCCCCTTCTCTGTCCACTTTTAAAGCTCGTCTTAAAACTCATCTATTTTACTTGGCTTTCAACACCAGTGAGATCTAGTTTAAAGTGAGATTTAGTTTTAAAGTGTATGTCTTTGTTTTTGAACTCCTTTTAATTTAAAATTATTTTTATTTTGTTGTGTTTTTTTTTTGGGATTGTACAGCACTTTGTATCAACTGTGGTTGTTTTAAAGTGCTTTATAAATAAAGCTGGTATGGTATGGTATGGTATGGAAATAGGGTATAACATGTCTCCTTTAAAAATCCCCTCTATGAGCCAGGTTTGTGGCTTGGTCTTATCTCCGGCCGGGTGGGGGGTGCGCCCGTTATCGACTCACGGCTGTGGCAGGTGGCGCCCGTGTATCCGCTGTGGGAGCAGTTGCAGCTGAAGCCGGTCCAGGACTGAGAGCAGAGGCCGCCGTGCTCACAGCGACTGGGAGAACACCTGAGAGAGAGATGTTAGGATCTGGTTATAAATACTCACTTTAGCATAGTATGCTATCACATGATCTATGTAGATTACTGATTGTTTTATTTCTTTTATAACTATATGAAGTCTCTGGCTGTAACCACAGATTCTCTTTGTTCTCTCTTTTCTTTCTCTCTTTTCTTTCTCTGCTGTATTAGATCCACGTCTTTAAGTCAACACATACACACACCATTTGGTACCACATTCCAATGTCATCAACATGAATTTACGATCCGGCTTGTTAGTCTTACAGATAACTAACCAATAGGACTTGGTTGTGTCCAGTCCTCCTTGTGAGGGGTGTGCCCAGTTTAGGAGACAAAGACCCATCAACCCCAGATCTCAGGGCTCTTTGCCCACTGAGACCCTGAGAGAGAGGTTTCGCTGAAATACTTTACCTGTGACCCAATAAATGTCCATTTTTACTCTTGATCGACTGGTTTATTCTCAGGTTTCCAACTAAAGAATCGGGCTAACAGACACAAGGACCACGATTGAGGGCAATGGTGGAGAAAACTATCCAAAAACCCTAAAGACAAAGCATAGAATTAGAATGATTACGTGGTTTCTGCTCAATAACCTAACAATCTAATTAATTTTGATGCCCTTGTAAACTGATGAGAGGTTTTTAGGTTCCTTTGGAAAGAAAACACCAGCATTCTTGATTTGAATCCCATATACAGTGGGGGAAATAAGTATTTGACCCCTTGCGGATTTTGCAGGTTTGCCCACTTACAAAGAATGCTTATTTTTCCTCATCAGATGGTTATCAATTTTTTATAAATTCACATGATGTGATTTTCTGGAATTTTCTTTGGGATTCTGTCTTTGACTGTTAGAATGTACATATGATTAAAGTTATAGATCGTTGCATTCTTTGTAAGTGGGCAAACCTGCAAAATCAGCAAGGGGTCAAATACTTATTTTCCCCACTGTAACATCGGTCAGTTTCACCCTTTTGCTTTGAGCTTTTTCTTAATTTCACCCCAAAGCAAAGTTTCCCATCTGAACAGAGAATATCCTCTATGCTCCACATCTTCTTTGAGTGCTTCTGGGCTGTCTGATGACACTTCCTCTGTGAGTTTAGCTCCCGTGTGAATGCGCTACAGCGGCAAGTTATTTCCAGATAAACATCTTACCGCTGTAACCATCTTGACTTCAGTCCTGTGTGGGAGGAAGAGACGGGAAAGGATCCAGACGGGGGATTACAAAACACAACAGCTGTAACGTCTGAGTTGGAAAATGACTTGTTTGTTTGTGTTTCTCGGTGCGTTGTTGACACATGTAAATGCACCAGGAGCTGTTTTCTCAGTTTCAAAAGTCCGTGGAAAAACAAAGGGGTGTTAAATAATTGATTTCCAGCATCATGCGGTAACATTTTTCCACGTCTCATTTTCCTCTTAACATAGAGCATGGTAATGAAATGTCTTCATTAGAAGGAAAGTCTGTGTTTAAAAAGGAAAAAAGAACAGGTTGTGAATACAGAAGAGATAAATGCTTAAAATCAGTTATCCCTCCGGGCCTCTGGGAGGCGCTACAGGAACCATCTGAACTCTGACCTCTGATCCTAAATTTATTTGATTGTATGTCAATTAAAACTTTCCGATAGAATTTAATTCATAGGTCACAAAATTCTTTCCGCCTCCCCAAAAAGTTTTTGTTTCACGCAAAATATGATACTGAACTTCATAAGAAACAAATAACATATGAAAATAATGAATGAATTAATGAATTTATTTCAGACCATTTCCACCACAAGTAACTATCTATCGGTAAATGGTCGGTAATTACAAAAAAAGAACAAACCTAATCAGAAGGACCTTAAAAAGGTAATTGAATGACTCATTTCCCTCTAGTGGTGGATGGTGCATTTCGTTCACTCGCAAAAGCACAAAATTGACCAAGTGACCAATTGTACCTCCTAAAAAACCATTAGCTGGGTTTTACTGTATAGTTCAAATGCACTAATGTACCTTATGTACATAAAAATATCCAATTACTGTTCACTGTTGTACATCCTGCGCATTTTGTAGCTTATTTCTGTCGTCCTGTACGTTTCCCATTAATAAAGTGCACCACTTTAAATATTTCATAAATAAACTATAAATACCTGGGGCACATGAAGCAGCATGAAAAGGCATCATGATTTAAAATAAGGTGAAAAAAAAACAAAAAACAACTCACACAACGTAGGAAAACCAATATTTATCATTGAGATCTAATGGGACCACAGATATTGTCATACAGCAATTACTGTTTGTGCTCCTCCAGCTCCAGTTTGAATTAGGTTGCTTGTACCTGTGACATAAAATGTCAAATGTCAGATTTCTGTTTTTTTTTGGCTCCCCCTCATGTTTGGAAAAGGGCCAAACCCTGCACATGCACAGCTATACATCTGATTTTAGTCAAGGTCAGCACCTGTCTCTTTCCATTTGTCAAAAAGGAAAAAAGCAGCTTAAATGACAACTTTAAAGTGGAAAATAGCACTAAATAGATTAAGAGATTTCCCTTTTTTGTCATAATTCCTGTGTCTGTGACATTGAACCACGTCAAAACAAACAACCCTGATGAAAGCTGCCAAACTGTAACAATAATTCAGGTACACAAGTCACCATAACAGATGAGATAATTAAAAATAATGTTAGAGATGTTGATTTGTCAGATCCGAGGGGGAGGAAAACAAACAGGTCCGTCACAGGTTATTTCATGCTTGACAATTCCTCTAATAATGAAGCTCTGTCTCTTTGTGGAGATGCTGTTAGTCTGGTTCCGCCTGTATTTATTCATCCTGTGCTTGTTTGTTTGTTTTCCGGGTCCAGCACAGAACACAATATTTTCACCTGGCAAATAGATTGCCTCGCCGAAGAAAATTGAGATTTTACTTCCCAGAAGTTGGGTCTCATAAAGTTGGGGGTCAAAACAACCACGGCGGCTGAGAAAAGGATGGAAATATTCATTCAAATCTCTGACGAAGAGGCCTGTGTATCGACTCCAGTCTGATCAGACAGTGATGAGACAAAGAAAAAACCCTGAGTCGGACCTTTTAAGGCTCAAAATTCCTCCATAAGCCCTCAGAGAACAGACTCTTTCTATGGCATCATTGCTAATTTGGTTTCAAACTCATTTGTATGCATCACTCTGAGGTGTTTACTTTGCATTCTTAAAGCCTGAAACAGTTCAGGCATCATTCCTCGATTTATTAGGTGATGAAATACGTTTGTGGACACCAGGATGGCCGAGTGGTTAAGGCGTTGGACTTAAGATCCAATGGGCAAAAGCCCTCGTGGGTTCGAACCCCACTCCTGGTAATAATATCTGTCCCTGGTGTTGATCAGAGCATTTGTTATGATCGGCTCTGCTTTGTGGAGTTCGACTTAAAGATGAGTATTTTTAGAAAACCAAACAGTATTCACGGTTGGTTTAAAGGTTGTTCGGGATGTTTTATATTTGAGAACCATCAAAACGAAACATTCACATCTTTTACATTACAGATGTACAACAACACTCATTTGATTTATGACAGAATTGTTCATTTTTTCCAGGAGTAGGGTCAAACCAAACCTCTCGGTTATCCTGGTATTCCATGTTTTCCAGGTTATGAAAGCTGCACGGGGCCCTCACAGGACAAAGGTTCCTGGTTTGAATCCCAGTTGGACTCTTTCTGTGAGTTGGCATATTCTCCTCTAGGCTCTCTGGTTTCCATACAATCCACATACATGTGTGTTGAATCATCATACATAATCTAAGAGGAAAATTAAGTATGTTTGAACAACAAAAAGAAGCTTTACTTTATCAATTAGTGGAGTGAAGCTCTGGAACAGCTTGCCTGAAAACATTTAAACAACGTAAAAGCATCCAGCAATTCAAAAAAGTATTTTTGATGAATACAAAAAAGAGTAATTTATAAAAAGTTGGTATACTGTTTGTCTCACTGTAAATAATTGTCCTTTACCACCATGTCACATGTAATTGAGGGCTTAATAAGCTTATGCTTCATCCTACTCTTTTTTAAACATGATGCATGTTTATGAAGCATTCAATGTAAACATTGTTAAACCATATCACGTTTGAAAATAAATGAAATGAAATGAAAATTAAATGAAAGTTTCTAACTGAAATAGGGGAGTTAGAATGTGAACAAAGGCAGCGGGGAGGATAAATAATGAGGGCAGCTTTCGGTGGCTCTGACCTGTCCATGATGCCGCACATGTCCATCTGCAGCTGGCTGAAGTTTCCCAGAAGCCTTTGCTGCACCGTGATCAGATCCACGGGCTGGTTCTCCAGAGCCAGGAGACGCATGCAGCCCTGGAAAACGCCGAAGGGGTTTCGGCACTCCTGGTCGTGGTCTTCAGGAGGGCAGCCTTCACATGGATGAAAACAGAAGAACAACGAGGAGTGAAAAAGGAAACATGGTGTCAGAGGAGCAAAGAAAAGCTAAAGAAAGCTTCTCTCTTTTGTTTGAAATCCACCACCAGTACAGTGCAATATCAGTGTCTTTCAAATAATAATGCTTATATCTCTGTAGGCCCACGTTTCACCTCCCTCTGAAGAGTTATTACAGAGACTCAGAAACAGTCTGGAAGGATGTCTGGCTTCTAAACGATGACCGGGTCAATAAAAGCATTTAGGTTTTAATGGAAGGAAGTATTTTTCTTCTTGTGGGGTTTTTGCACTTTGATTTGTTTTGTCTCGTCTTGATTTTGTTTTCCTGTTTCTGTTGTTGATGAAACAGTTTGTGTTTCATTCTGTCATTATTAGCTGCTCTGTGGGGTTTTTCAGTTCCTTTTATAGACATTAGTTTTTTCGCTTGAACCCCTGTATATCTCCTCTGTTTTGTTCGGTCTCATAATTAAAACTGATTCCTGTTCTGGATGTTACTCCTCAGTTCATGTTCAGTTTATTGAAGGGGTCTTAAGGAACAGCTCTCAAGGCTTCTTGAAGGACAACACAAAGCTATTCTATTCCAAATGTTTCAGCTGATAGCTCTTTGGTAATCAACCTGTTGCTGCCCATTTTCTGGATATTTCATAGATTAGCTGAAGAAATGGAAAAAATATGTAATATATATATATATATATATCACAGCTATCTAGCAACAAAATGCCTAAAAATCCCATTAAAAACTGGTTCACTGATTCATCCCTTGAGTTAGAGGCTTTTTTTTTAAATAATTGAGGAACAGACAAGTCTGAGTTCATTCGCGTAACAGACAAAAAATAAATCCAGAAGTAGTCCTCAAACACTGACTCTTACCTCCAAAGAAGAGTTGGCTGGATACGGTGACGGGGAAAGAGGGGTTAGCGTGGGCAACACCCCCTTCCTGTTTGTCCACGGACACTGTGAGACGGCCGCTTCTGGAAATAAGATCCACCGAATGCCACTGACCGTCGTTCAGGGAAGAACCTGTGGGAAAAAGTCAATAAAAGCCACAACAGTTGTTTTTTATACAGTTGTGCTACTAAATGTGCCATCTTTACACTTTGTATTCTGTATGTTATTGGTTTAAAAAATGTTCAATAAATAAAGAAAAATCCACAACAAATACGTTAGAGCTGATCTTAGTCGGGCCTGATCTTAGATCTTAGATCTTAGACTTTGGTCTCGGGGTTCTTTTCAAAAACTGACCCGCGCTGAGTTCCAGCTCCGCTCTGCCCGGTTTGTACACCTGGAGGCGGAGTCTGGCCTCGCTCAGGTAGAGCCAGACCACGCCCCCTGACCCAGGGAGGCCGAAGCTGAGCAGGAGCCCCGCCCTGTTCCAGGTCCTGAACTGAAACCCCACGGTGAAGCCCGCAGAGGGAGGTACCGAAGGCCACGGCAGCTGCAGGAAGCTCTGCGGCCCGGGGAAGGTGGCCGCCACGGAAACCGGCTCGCCACAATAAAAGCTGACGTTTCCCTGCGCGAGGAAGAGGAGACGGGACAGAAAACACCAGACGAATCAAAACATGCACATGTTTACATTTGAATACACATTTCTGTATGGAAATGCAAGCTAAGGAGTATGCATGCATCTTGAGATTGTCTTCCAACCTCTTAAATCTTGGGATTTTTCTGGGGTTCCAGCTCAAAGATGCCAAAATAAAATGTTTTTCTTGAATTTTAAAGAAGTGGACAAAGGATTAAAAATATAACACACTTTTTTCGCTGCCTAATTTTCTGTTTATCATTATATTAGGGCTGGGTCTCTCACATGCTAATTACAGTGCAATTACAGAGTAATTACAGATCGAACAACACTTTTATAGGGTGTTTATAGGGTGTCCAAAATGTGGGTGCACTGATGCTATGGGTGGGCTTTAGTGGGATTTTTGGTATTGATCCGATACCGATAAGTGAAAAAAGGCCACTATTACTGATCGTTATGTCTGATATTGTCAGGGTGGTGGGTTCTTGAGGGAGGACTCAGTCGCGGAATGAGGGGAACAAGGTTTATTGCACAAAAAAAACAGAGTGAATGTCCAGACAAAGTACAAAGCAAAGCTGTGGAAAACTGTGATCAAAGTAACAAAGCAATGAGCAAACAAGGCTGGGTAAAGTAACAAAATAACGATTGACAAAACTGTGGCAAAACTGTGACTATGGCAGAACTATGACGAAAACAAAGACTATGGCAAAACAAACCTGGCGTGGGGGAGACGACGGACAAAAGACGAAAACGCACTCGCGCCAGACAAGGGGAAACAGGACTATTTAAACACACGAGGGAGGGGAACCCCAGGTGTACACAATAGGTAATCATGACATGACGAGACACCAGACGTGACAGATATGACACCTAAAATAAGGAGAATTGAATAGAAAAAACTGCTGAAAGGTCTCAGCCGGTGGAAATTCATCCTCTAAATGGCGCTCTGTACCCTTTCCATTAAAATTAATAAGTATCTATACTTTAAAAAAAGCATCTGTCCTAAAACAGACATGTTTGAGATCACTAATATTCAAACTTAGTTTATAATCCCTCTGAAAATATAGTGGACCGAACCACTCGATTGATGGTTTGGTCCACGATCGGATGTTCACGGTCTCTGTTTGTCATTTCATTTTGTGTCTGGTGGTCAGAGAAAGGCTTTTTTGTGAGATTTCAGCTACATTTTGAGTGTTTCTGTGGGAACCAAAGATGTCTACCTTCATTTACCAGCCCTGCACTCACATCCTGGGAAATGTGAACATCCCCCCCCTCCCCATAACCGGGGCGTTAGGGCTCCAAAGGTTAAGGGAAGACATCATTTCACCGCACTCTCGCTTATTATCCCCATCCTCTAAAAGCTCCCTTTCGGCCGAATCACTGAGTCTGTGTTGAAGCAGAATGAGACCAGTTTTTCTCAGAGGCGCCCCGAGGACACGCCCGACAGGCCGACCCCCTCGTTTAGGCCGGCGGTTTCCCCGGGGTTACGTAAGAATGCTCATTATTGGTCAGCGGTGCACAGAGATGGGTCCTCCTGGTCTTTGTTAGTTTGTCTTTGAACCAGCGAGTCCCAACAGGACAGGGAGGAGTCCTAATGCTGCTCTCTCTCTCTCAAACTCATGTTGAACAGGAATTGACTCTGATAACAACTTAATAGTTAGGACACAGACTTGTGGGTTAGGAGATGCTAATGCTAATGCTAATGCTAATGCTCGTGTGGGATCGGAAAGGATTGGGACTTTATAGAAATAAAATTGAATTGAATTGAATTGCTGTCAGGGGGCTCCAGGGTTAGCATGCCGGGATCTGATCTATCTATCTCTCTATCTCTTTCTCTCTCTCTCTCTCTCTCTCTCTCTCTGAGTCTGCATCAGAGCACTTTGCTGTTCCCAAGCGGTTTACATGATCTGTCATCATTACATCCTAGAAAGGTGCGAGGGGCTGGGATTTATCTTAAAAGGCTGATGATGGTGGGTCCAAAAGCAAACCTAAGCTAACCTCACACCTCCTCCATTTAAAAAAAAACAATCAAAGTCCGTGTTTTAATGATGCCGGTTCAGCTAATAGTCGTTTTTCCTCAGAGGTTTTTCACAGCTCTGTTCTGGTAGTTTAATTTAACCCTTTAAAACCTGAATAAAACAAAACAGAAAAATTAATTTTTTTTGGTCTGAAGTCTTTATTTGGCCTTTTAACAAAATATGTAAAAAGAAAAAACAGAAATACATTTTTGATATTAATGATTTATTACAATGCGATAAATCCAGATTATTTTTTGTGTAGTCTTCTGCCCCCTGTTATCAGGTGTATCTGATTGTGTACAATAGGATTTTGAGCAAAGTTTTTACCATTAAATTATGCAAAAGGTGTCAGACGCAAAACATTTCAGAAACCGTATGTATCAAATATGACACATTTGGCATTATAGGGTTAAATGGGGGATTTGAACGCACACTTACATTTGCGGTGACGTGTTTGTCGTTGCGTTTAGCTTTCTCTATCAGATTGAGGCCGTTGTAGAGCAGGTTCTCCAGGCAGCCGAGGAAGTTCCCCCTGGATGTAACCGGTTTCTGGCCCCCTCCTACGCTCAACTGAGTTGGGAAAAACACAACAGATTTAGGGAAAATTACCCAAAAAGGCACACTCAACTTTTTGTGTTGGAGATTTCCTGCACACCTGTGCGAGGCCCCGGGGGCTGAGCTCCGCGGGGGCCTGGGTTTGCTCGGTGTGTTTGTCCACGGTGAGGTTGAGGAGGCCGGTCCTCTGCTCCAGGACCACGCGGTGCCAGTGCTGGTCGTCCAGAAGGCTGCCGAGGGACGCCAGGCGCCGGGGGGGCCAGCTGCTGCCTGGGGGGGGAAATAAGAATAACTGAGAGGGATAACTCATATATATCTGTTTTGGACCAAAAAAAAAACCCTCACTAACAGTGGGTGAGGCATTCGTCTTTAAAACAGATATGTAACATATAATATACAGTGGGAGAAATAAGTATTTGACCCCTTGCTGATTTTGCAGGTTTGCCCACTTACAAAGAATGCTTATTTTTCCTGAAAATATAGTGGACCGAACCACTCGATTGATGGTTTGGTCCACAATCGGATGTTCACAGTCATTCAATTTTGTGTCTGGTGGTCAGAGAAAGGCTTTTTGTGGAATTTCAGCTGAGATTTAAGTGTTTCTGTGCGCACCAAAGATGTCTACCTTCATTTAGCAGCCCTGCACTCACATCCTGGGAATTGTGAATGCCCCCCCCCCCCCCAGGGCCGGAAAATAGGAATAGCTGAGAGGGATAACTCATACATATCTGTTTTGAATATACAGTGGGGTAAATAAGTATTTGACCCCTTGCTGATTTTGCAGGTTTGCCCACTTACAAAGAATGCTTATTTTTCCTCATCAGATGGTTATCAGTTTTTATAAATTCATATGATGTGATTTTCTGGAATTTTCTTTGGGATTCTGTCTTTCACTGTTAGAATGTACATATGATTAAAATTATTGATCGTTGCATTCTTTGTAAGTGGGAAAACCTGCAAAATCAGCAAGGGGTCAAATACTTATTTCCCCCACTGTATGTTATATGTTACATATCTGTTTTAAAGAAGAATGCCTCACCCAGTGTTGGTGAGGGTTTGTTTTTTTTGGTCCAGTCTTTAGTGGATGCTACAGAAGTAACATCAACAGGTTTTATTTGAACCTCACAGCATGGACAGCCCTGCAGGGCCTTCAGGTTTGAGACTTTAAGGCATTTTTAATTTATTATGAATTTGTCTGGCAGCCTAGGAGCAGTTTTTTTTTAAAGATGGGATTCAGAAAATTGATGTGTAACAAAAAGCATTCATTAGTATATTATGATGAAAGCCTTTATTGTCATTATACATTTTCATTACAATGAAATTTGGAAATTTGGAAAGATCGTATGCAGCTTATACTAGTATGTTATTATATATCATGGTATCTTGTTTCTTACCTGAAGGAAACAGAACTGAACGATCGCCATAAATGTGACGTTTAAGTTCTGAATATTGTTCAAATACGCTGTCGATAGGAAGGACACTGAAGTGACTGAACTCTTTCTAACCTTTAATATCCAACTAAAAAATATTCCTCTCTGTTTCTCGATTTTTATGGAAAAGAACGCATAAGATACATTCATTTTAAGCCCAATGATTAGTCCATTTTCTACATATACTCATCTCTCTTATACTCAGAGGGGGTCATAGCCCATGACCCTGAAAGGCCACTCACCCTCTGGATGGGTCACCCCGATAACTCTCATCTAAAAAGACTTTTTCCAGAATCCAGAGAGAACTCAGGCATATTTCAAGCCTGTGTTTTTAAAGTAGGCCAGTCCAGGGGACACATTTCCCTCCGTCGTTTGTTCGGGTTAAAACCAGAAATCAGTCGTTTTGTTCAGAACAGAACGGAGAGCAGAGGGGCAGCAGGTTTATGCAGACTTTGGCTTTCTGTTTGAACTCTGCTCTTCAGAGTGAAGGACTTTAGCGAGACCAATGCAGCAGCAGCTGGAAAGACCTCTCCAAACAAAAGTCCGGTCATTTTCAAAAGCCCGAGCCAACGTCTTTGCTCACTTACAAACACATCAGACAGCCTCGGTTTTTACAAATGCTTCCTGAGAGCCGGCAAATGAACTACAAATGTGCTTTACTAAGCAGTTTAAGAGCAGATCTAAGAGTTAAGAAAACACTCGGGGCCAATTACAAGGACCCTGTCTTTTCAGAGAGAGGCAGGGGAGATTTTGAGAAAAGAAATGTAGCACAGGGGAAAAGAAAGGTGGAGAACAGAAAAATGAGATGGAGCTCAGAGGTGGGGCTGGAGGGAGGAGTCAGAGGCAGGAAGAAGGAAGAGGAGCAGAGTGAAGGTGACACTCAGTGGATGGATGGAAAGGGAGGAAAACAATCAGGAGATGATAAATCAGACAGAAACAAATAAAAACTAATCATTTAGTGTGCAATGGCAAACTCCGCAGTCTTTTAATCAACATGAAAGCAAAGTTTAAAGGGCAAAGTCTGAATCTCCACACAGAAATCAAGCTTGAAAGTTGGACATTTTATTCAACTTCTTCGACTTGTAGATAAACGATGTCATCGTGGTCCAAGTACATGCAGGTTTTTAGTTTGTTTACCGCCAGTTTTCATTCAGTTATGTAACCTGTTCAGTATTTTATGGACTGTTTGATCCCAAAGCCAGTGAGTTTGTTTTCTCGTCATTATCTGAAATCTGACCTGTTGTCAGATAGACGTCAGCCTGAGGAACCAGACGCCTTAAGAAGCGTCTTTTCTGAGTGTCTCTCGCTCTCATCTCATTAAGGAGAACGGGGTTTATCTGTGTACTGTATGTCTCAATGCCTCCTTTAAAAGGCTGCGGAGGGAAACTGGTGAGACCTCATTTATGTTAAATGAGCAAATTCCTCGGGGAGAGGCAATCTCCACCTCAGAAGGGAGACAAACTGACAGTTTGGAGGATGATGGACAAATGCGTTTTTGATATTTCCGCTCGTTTCGCGCCTGTCGAGGAAAAAACAACTTCATCCCGCGCGGAGAAAAGTTGGAGCGTTCACCTCATGAGACGCAGGGAGCAGGCGGAATAAGAATGAGACGACACAGTCAGAGGGAGGAATTCAAAGCCTCCCGAACAAATGACATCCCCTCACTGGTGCTGATTAACTTATCCAGAGGGCGACCACACCGGATGGATGTTTCATTAGATGGATGATCTGATTACGGCATAAATGCTGGGAAATTGGAATAAATATGAGATACTACTAGCAACAAATAGAGAAAACAGCCCCACTGATGGTAATAAATAGTCACTTCCTTCCACTTCTTCATCAATGACTCATTTTTTTAGTCTTTATTTATTCCTTTTTGGTAGACTTTCTAATCTGTCAGGACATCAATATGATAAATGTCATATAATAAATGATAAAAGCACCTTTTACACCTTTTATGAGAACTATAAAAAGGTAGACGTCATCTGCAATGTGAGGCATCTTCAAGCTAAAAAAAGCTACTCTAACAGAACACCAAGAGTTAATTCATCTTTTGAAATGGACAGAAAAGTACATTCCTGCCTTTCATACTGTGACACAAAAGCTGAAAGTGTCTCAGGTTTGATAGAAACCCGGTGGTGGTGGTCAATGTGACCTGGATCAAACGCTATCAAACAGAAAAGTGAGTGATCATGAGTAAAAGAGAGACCACCACAGAAAGTTGAGAAGGAGCTAAAGGAAGCCGAGCGGTCTGAAAAAACTTGAGGCATTAAATGGAGAGAAAACAGAAAAAGCTGACGAGCACAAAGTGGATTGTGTTGTGAGTCGGGCACAATGCAGCGAGACAGAGTGTAAAAACAAGAAGAGAACAGGATTTATGTGAAAACATAAAGAAATGTGACGTTCGGGAACGGAGAAAACTAAAGAGACGGAAAGGAATGAAACATTTGAAAGGGGAGGACAAATTTCTCATTTCTCTTGATTTTGTCTCCAAGCAGCCAGACTTTCTTTGTTTTCAGCAAAGGCAGCTTTTTATTTCGACACTGACTGCTTATCAACTCATATTAATGACACTTTAAACTAATTTGAATGTCTCGAGGTCACTCACTTTTTCTTTAAGCTCTTGGTTAATGGCAGCATGCAGTAAAACATCATTTTTTAAAAGAGATGAAAAAAATAAATGACAAATATCAGATATTGGGTTAAAAAAAGGTAAAAACATGGGACATAAAGCATGTAGGGTGAAAGAGCTCAGATATGGGATTTCCCATGGTGTGGTAACAAAATGGCCGCCTGACCCCAGCTGGTTAAACCCTGTTTACTCAAACATGTGCAGACTCTAAAATGAGAAGTTCCTTTAGGTTAAGGCTGTGAACAGGCACCATTTTTAATGCAATAGCTCCACCAGAGAGCTCAGACTCTGGGTTTCTGGTGTTTATCTGCTCTAAAACAGTCCGAATGGTGGTTTAGATTGGATTAATCTCTGAGGTGGGTTGTTTTCCACCCTTGTTGTGGTCAAAAAGTGGCAGACTTAGATGGAAATACACCTGGCAGGAATGATTCCATGTTTATTTGCAGCTTGTTTTTCTGGTTCCGGATGTACAGGTGGGGTTTTTTTAGCGTTTTGTACCTGGTCTGAGCAACAGAAGCAGCTTTCCTTTCTCCAGCTCCAGACTCAGGCTGCATCCGTCGCCTCCCTCCCTACGCAGCAGCGTCCCAGAGTTCCTCGCGGTTTTAAACTGGAAGGAGATGACCTCTTCGGGCGCGGGCGGTCCGGGACCGGGCGTATAGGTCAGCGAGCCGCCGCCGCCCTCAAAGCTCACGACTTCAGAGGCTGGAATTGGGAGAAAAAAACACAGACTTTGTGGTGAAACATGAAAAGCGAATTGTAATCTTTATACTCTGTTTTTCCCAGCATGGACACACAAACCGGAATACTGTGGTTGCACAACAGAGATGTTCAATAAATAAGTAGAACTACTTTAGTACTGTACTTAAGTACCAAAATGCAGTATCTGTACTTTATTGGCGTATATACAGTATATAAGCTAGTAAATAAGCACTAGTTCAGCTCTTCCTGTTCACTCAGGACGTAGCAGCTAACGTTAGCTAAAGCTAAGCTAGCTGACTAGCTGTATGCTAACGTTAGCTAAAGCTAACCTAGCTGTATGCTCCCCGTTAGCATGCTAGCATAAAGGCTCATCTCATGATTCTGACTCTGGAATAATAAATAATAGTAGATGCTGTTGATTGCTAATGCAGATGTAGTTTTCTGTGTGATAATATAAACAATATCTATCACACCTTTGACTGCCTTTTTTAAATATACACATTACTTTTACTTTTACTCATGTTTGTACTTTCGATACTTGAGTAGCAATTTTTTAAATACTTCTACTTGCAATACTAAAGTACAAAAAAAATGGAGTACTTCCATACTTCCACTTAAAGAAAGGTGTTGAAAGAATGATTTTACTTTTACTCAAGTCAATTTTTTTATATAGTACTTGTTCTTCTACTCCAGTACTTTATACATCTCTGTTGCACAACAATGTGTTTAACATTTGTCACATTTGTCAGCCGGCCACCTTACTGCTGCACAATGAGGAGGAAGAAGGAGTGGAGCTCAGCATCCCGCTTCCTTTTCATCTGTAATTTCTTTTCTAATGGCGTTTGCAGGCACTCGGCTCTCAGTAAGGTTCTTATTGCACCGCTCAGTGTATTTCCTGCTGATTGCAGAGCAGCCGGCTCAAGCTTCGAGCTTCCTCAAAAGACTCGTCCTCTTCGCTAAGCCGCAAACACAACTTTCAATCCTCTTTGTGTGCGACCCGACCTGCCAGCTGCGGGATGTTTTGTTTTAGCTTTGCGTGCCTGTAATGAGCTCAGCGCCTGCAATTACCCCAGCAACATATTGTTGGTGAGTTCTTTTGGCTGACGACCAAGACACAAAAAAGAGTAGCGGCTCACAGTGAGAGCAGCAGTGAGTTAGAGACAAAAGACAGAGGGATGCAGCTTTTTAAAACTTCTGTAAAGTGTGCGCGGGGTTACTAGGTCAGGACTCTCTTCATTCAGCTACTATGCTTCTGATTAACCCTGTAATGCCAAATGTATCATATTTGATACATACGGGTTCTGAAATGTTTTGCGTCTGACACCTTTTGCATAATTTAATGGTAAAAACTTTGCTCAAAATCCTATTGTACACAATCAGATACACCTGATAACAGGGGGCAGAAGACTACACAAAAAATTATCTTGACTTATCGCATAGTAATGAATTATTAATATCAAAAATGTATTTCTGTTTTTCTTTTTTTTAAACATATTTTGTTAAAAGGCCAAATTAAGACTACAACCAAAAAAAAAGTAATTTTCTGTTTTGTTTTATTCTTGGATCAGGCTTTAAAGGTTAAATCTCCACTTGCAGGCTGCTGCCATAAACCAGGGTTCAGAGTATAAACCAGGCTGTGTGGTGCTATAGAGGGTGGCTGTGAGGTTGTGTGAGGTTGAATACCTCACATGTAGGTTTTTGGGGTGTGGCAGGAAGCCAGAGAACATTTAAACTCCTCTGGGGGAAATCAATATATGTATGATCATTTTCTTTTCTATTCTTCTCTTCTATTCTATTTCTTTTCTATTTTATTCTCTCTGGTAAATTTCCTCAATTGAGTATTTTAAAGGTCCTTTCCTCCCTTAAGGTCTAAGAGAGGTCCTCATATTTCGTTTAATTCTTGAAGATTGTTTAATACAGGTGGAGAATGAAGGGCAGACTTGACGTCTCATTTTAGAATCAGACTGTTATAAAATGTATTATGATTTTGTTTAACTTGATATATTGCATGGCACGTGCTGCTTGCTCTCACTTTATGAAGTTTTCCCTTTAATACATTTCTTATTCTAAGACTTTTGCTTCAGAATTTCCACAACAACTCCACACACAACCCTTTTGCTGTGAGGTCATTCTGCTAAATGCAGCCCTCATCAATATTCTCAGAAGGCAAAATGTCTGTATTTTGTCTAGGTGCATTGTAATTGTGTTTTTCAATCATTTTAATGCTCTGAAAGACTTAATGTCTTGAACTGAAACACTGATGTTAAATCCCCATTTGAGACAGTTTTAACATGCATTAACTTTTTGTGTTAAAATGAAATCCGAGCTGATATCAGTCTGACTTTTGCATGACTTGTATGTGTACAAATAAAAAACTGACATTTAAGGACAATCACATTTGGAGCAGGAACATAAGGGTCATAGAGAGGTTGGAGTTTGTTTTCTGCTGGGTGTATTGTGAGTATGCCTTCTTTCCAGCATGCAAAAACAATCCCAAAAGCTTTTTTTTTTTCATTCCAAAATAAGTTGGGGGGGAGAAAGCAGCAATATGCTGCAAAGTTTTGGCCAGACAGATCCTCAGCTTTAGCTGACAGTGTTTACTCCCAAAGTGAGACGCTCCCGGCCCACTCAGCCTCCGCCTCCCTTCAGCGCCTCACACTCACACTCCTCTGTCCGGGGAGGATTCTGCATTCATTTTCCAGCAGCAGACAACTGCGACACCGGCAGATAAATGTAATACAAACTGTATCTCTGCTCTGCCCCCGAATGACTTTTGAATATTTCCAAAAATGCTGTGGGTGATTCATCAAAGTCCAACGTCTCCACGTTCCCCTCTATCTGTACTCCTCCACAGCATATAAATGCAGACACAGCCATATCAAAGAAGCACAATGTTTTTTAATCTGTCATAACCTCTGAAACGCCGGGAATTCACCCTTTTGGGAGGAGTCGGAGCTCCTGCTCAGCTTCTTTTCATCATCAGCTTTCTTTTGACCCAAAACCAAAATGATGAAGTTATTTTTCCCGAATATGGTCATCATGTTTGGTACAGGAAAAAAATTGTTATGAATGAAATCCGTCCCTTTGGGAGTTCTCGTTTTGGCAACAGATGCAACTGATTTTACTTATTGTTATTGTTATTATCATTGTTATTGTAATTTTAGTTGTTTATTAAGTGTATTTATTGTGTTGTTGCTGCTGTGTTAAATATAATTTCCCCTTGTGTGTTTAATTGTGTACTTTGAAAAGTAAAAACAGCCGTATACAAGGAAACATGACACCATTTTGACAACCAATCGTGAACAACTGTTCATAAAAGTGCTTTGTTATAAATGTCCATGGCTTCCACAGGAAATAAAAAAAAAATCCCTCATTTTCATGCTGAGATTTACTTTGTTTTTCTGCTATTTAAGTCTAATGTGTTGATCCAAAAGGTCAGGCGGAAAAAAACGCTGATGTCACAGATGTGACAAAAAAAACACAAAAAGAAGAAACGTTTTTTTTAATATAAAGCGGTCAGAAACAGCCCAATTACACATGGCTCAGACTCACTGTAGGGACAGCCGTAGGCCTCCAGGCGGAGGCCGATGCGGCCGCTGGGGTTCCAGTCCAGAGGCACGAGGCGGAGGAAGCGGGCCACGGCCGGCTGCTGCAGCTTGTACTGGACCACGCTGTCCGCATTACTGTTGCCTGGAAAAGACTGGAACCACACAGAAGGATGCATGATGATGCATAAATAGGAAAGAAATAGCAGAAAACTGCAGGAGGCAGAAACAGTGACTCACAACAAAAGGGAGAGACATAATATACATTTATTTCAATGCATCATGATCCCACATGGACCATAAAATGTCAACAATGTTGAACATTTATGACATCCTATTAGGATTATCCAAACAAGCAAACAAACAAATGGGTACAAAGGCAAATAAAGAAACATGAAATGAGTCATTTGTTTTATTCTGATGTTAATAAAATGTGGAGAAATCAAGAATATCCTGGTTTTAAAAAGGCAGAGATCTAGTAAAAAAGCAGGTAAAGTGTGTGGAAAGCTGCTTTAAAAGGTAGCAAACTATGCTGAAAAAGCAGCCTGTCGGAGGCAATGATCAACAAAACTGTCTGTAGAAGGATGAAACGTGTGGAGGAGCCTGAAATTATGCAATTCAACAGATCCAGCCATTTTACAAAAAGAAACTGTCTGTTTAACTGTCAAAAAACACAAAAAGGGCATTTTGCTCTGCGGGCTAAACAGGTTTTCCCAGCATGACACCACTAAGAATACATGATTGCAGGATATCCAAAAAGACATGGAGAAATAATATAAAGGAAGGGATTCATTTCTTTGAAAACAAAAAGAAGAAAATGTGTTTTTAAGTACTTTTTTACTCCTACATTGTTCCTGATAATGCATGTTTTTGGTCACGACCCAATTACTATTATTTTTTCATCAGTAAAGCAGATAAAGTTGGAAATGATATCCCTTTGTAATTTCTTTCTAAAGTTTTTAATGACTGACAGAACAATTATCTGAGCCATCAGTTTTTCAGTCCGACGCCTCTTTCCTCTCCTCTTTTCTTCCATCCGGCCTTCCTAATCGCAGGCTGACATTCAGGTTAACTGACACTTCCTCTGCAGGGACGTGTAATTAACTTTTTAAAACCTCTGTAATCATGACTGAAGTCGAATCATCTTGTTCAATGAAAAGAAACCTTATGTCAGGAGGCAAAGAAAAGCGACCGAAAAACTCCAACAAAAGTTTTGACATTCAGTCGAATTGAGATACTGAACTCCTTTTTCCTCACTTTAATAACTTAATGAATATTTACACACAGGAACTACTTGAAAATGATTCATTTCCAAATTATAATTATTAAGTCTAATGCTATATATGTATATGTATGTATGTACAT